AGATACATTTCTCCTAAATTCGATTTATGAAACACTCGTAGTCATAGGACGCAAACCAAACGAAGTTACTTTACAAACTATATTAAGGATGCTATTAAAGGTGCACATGTGTTAGAATGGATCATAACTGTGTTATATGCAGTTAGTTTTGCGTTGAAAGCTCTGCTAGTATGAAAAATGCAAATGTTTGCTACCTACACCGGCACCGTATATTTCGCAACCATTTCTTTCATCTATTTATTTATTACATATTATTATTACTTTTTACATTATGTTTTAAATCTTAAGCTTTTATATGCTACATCTACTTCAAAACTTACAAGTAAAATACAAACATAAAGTGAATCAAACAAAATTCAAAATAAATTAATCCTATTAATAAACTTGAAAAATAATACTGCTTCATTTCATTTTAATTGATTGTCCTGTAATTATCGATGTCAGTTACATTAACTATAAATTACTGCTACACGAAGTTTAAGCTTATTAAAATATACAATAGGTATTAAAACATTGTCAAGTTGAACCATATTGACGCATGGTTGGGTAAAATCATATTACGAATTTTCATCGAGTATTAAAAAAAAATTAGTAACAAACACAATTTTAGTGCGAACTGAAAGAAACTATAGAACGAAGAAACTGAAGAAGTAATGAACCTCTTTTTATTTGACCATGCCTAGAGGGTTATTATTTTCCGATGTATGTAAGTATATGCGTATAATTCTTTGGCCAGCTCTATAGCCCAAACGACTAGATACATTTTGGCATAATTTTGAGAAATTGTGGTTTGTAAACTTCAAGATTATATTTTCATGGAATCGGCATTTTTAAATTTTTTAACGCTTGTTTGCTTTCTTTTATTAATGATGAAACCAGGGAGTGTCGTGACCTCAGCATCAAACATACATTACCGACTCCAATTTGTTAGACTCGTGAAAACGAATTATGTGATCCCAAACTCAAGGGGTCTACTAGTTGGCACTGAAAAGTTTCATTTCGTGCATTGTCAAGGATCATCTCAACTTGATACCAAATGATAGTATCGTGATTAAAAGTACATGTGCATTGAAAAAAATATATACAACAAAATAAAATAAGCAAGTTTGAATCCTTTCTTTCTGATTAACGCAACAATTTCATATTCTAAATAATTATTGTACTTGGTTAGTACTAAAGTGATATACTAAGTGGTCATAGGTTGATAATCCAAAAGTAAAATGTTGACGCAATCATTAATTAATTTGAAGTACTTTATTATCATATTTTAATTACGTTGGTAGAAAAACTATCTCTCTTATAGTAAATACAAATGACATTTTACAATAGAAAACGATCTATATAATACCGATTGATTTCAATTAAATTCACGGTGTACTAGATAACTAACGAACAAGATTCTAAGAAATCCTCCCCAAAAACAGAGCTAATAAAAAAGAAACAGTAATTACATTTTATATCAATTTCTGACAATATACGACGGAAAAATAAAAGTTACGTAACCATGGTTATTTTGAAAATAACAGTTCTTACAAAATCAGTGGACACTATCATGTACAGATTTTATTAGCTACTACACTGTTATCTATTTATTAAATCTAAAAGGTCAGCACTTCATATTCGGATTAATCCCCGTATGAATATTATGGACAATATTTCAGATAATAATTCAGATAATAGTTTATTATTGCTCATCGGTGATATGAGAAAATATACATCACATAGCAAACACCACAAAAATTGTTACAATGCTATTATTTAGTGCTTTGTTTTGTAAAATTGAGTAAATTAAAGCACTATTGTAATAGGTACACGCTAAAATTATTATAGTTATAAGATTGTTCTAAAGCTAACGCTTAAGGTAAAGTTAACAATACAGGGTATAGTAAATATTATAGCCACGGTTGATAAAACTTTTCAATAGTCAGAAAAAAAACAATTATTTCCATTAAATCTTTGTAACTATAAGATAGTAGTAGCATCTATCTCAAGTTTTTCTTTCTGACATCTACTTTAGCAAATGATCTTTAGAAGAGGAAAAAATATATATCTCAATTTAACAACCCATTACCTTTAAAAAAATATGTTGTATACAACAAGTTAATTCATTTTAATCGCAAGCACTTGGATAATTGGCACTCTCTGTTCTATTCTATTCATTCTATTCTATTTCCGGACCGATACAACCTTCAAACCTTGAAGAAAAGAGCGTACTCCTTCCTAAAATGCCGGCAACGCGTTTGTGACTCCTGAGTTTCAAACGTTCATGGGCGGCGATGGTCCCTTTCCATCAGGTGACCCGTCTGCTCGACTGCCCCCTCTAACATAAAAAAAAGAACAGAGCGTACTCCGTCCTTAAACGCCGGCAACGCGCTTGTGACTCCTGAGTTGCCGGCGTTCATTAGCGGTTTGTTCATTTGCGGTGGTCTGCACGTTTGTCCCCTATTTCATAAAAAAAAAGCACATTTTTAGTATCTTATTATTATTTTATAATTATTTTATCCAGTAAATATTATTCCCTAAATTTTTATGTAGTGTATTACATGTTTATTTATGTATGTATGTAGCTCAGCAAGTATGTTTGTATGTGTGTCTCAATATGTATATCTATCACACTGTTGCTGTCCATATCATTATTTATTATTATCTCGTGACATATAGAACTTAATTTCTAGTGCACCTACTCAGGCATTTCCCCACTACCATAAAGTAGACTGAGAGAAAATGCCTGTGGCATTAGGTCCGCCATTGTACAATGAATTGTTGTTTTGTGCAAAAATAATTAGATAAATAAATTTCAAAAAATTGAGCTCTCTCAACTGTGTTACCTTATTTTATTGCTTTTCAAAATACTTTTTTAATTACATTACACATCAACCGCCTTTAATAGTCCACTGCTGGACATAGGCCTCTTCTTAGAAATGAGGTCGTCAAAAAATAAGTCCCAAGTATTTACTTATTTATTATATTACCTATATGGCAGTAGCTTTGTTCTAAGTATTTTTCTCTTTATGTCGCTACTGGTTTGTTTGTATATGCAATGATGTGGTATTGATATGGGTTTGGTTTCCCGTGTACACGATACTGCTTTTAGGCATCCACCCTTCACTTTCACTCAAAGTAGATTCGTACATTACACTATGTACTCAGATTAGAAATGTTTTATTAATTATTAGCTTTTTCGTACTGTTTCAGTTGTGTAAGAGTATGTTTATATATCTATGTCCCTTGTAGTATTTTGATCCATCCTGAGGTTGCCAAAAATCGATCTAAGTGGTGTGCAATCGGATAAGCTTGTTTCCAGCAGTAGACTGCGATAGGCTGATGATGATGATAAAGGTTGCCTAGAAGACATTACACTAAGCAATAAGGCCTTCTTATGTAATGTATTAATAATAAATAAATAAATAAAATAAAAAAAATAAATTAATGTAAATGTTGTACAAATAAAGAGTTTTTATCTATCCCTGGGAATGTCTATACCAAATTTCATTATGGTCGAAAGAACGATACGACAGCGTACACAAAACGAACAAACAATCCATATCATAATTTTGATTCATAAAAATATATAAAATAAGTTATTCATCACATCACATCAACAGCCTTTAATATTCCACTGCTGGAGTTAGGCCTCTCATTAGAAAGAAGGTTTTGGCCTACTATACCACGCTGGCCAGACGGCCTTAATTTATTAAAATAATAAAAATTGATTTTATACACTAGAAAGATAATCAATAATATTTTAAAAGTCTTTTATGATCTTGATCTTAAAATCGCTACTAGGAATCATGAAATTGAGATGTCTTAAATTTTATGTTGAACAAACATGTAAAAAAAATCATCTTGTTAAAGACAGAACCAACAAAAATACTAGGCATTCTATACAGAATTTTATAGAAAATTTAATTTAACTGAAAAGTAAAATAACTTGAAACGAAATCTTCAGGACGTCAATTTTTTAAATGAATATCATATGAATTTCAATTTTTATGTAGTTTATTAGTTTTCTGAAAAACCCTGAAATTCCCAAATAATTATTTAATGCATCAAAAGTTCTTTTAACTATAAAGCGGTTTTTTTAATATAATTGTATTATCTTTTGAGTTTTGACTGTTATATATAACAAGAATTTATCGTTTTAAGTTATAAGTAGATGTCAAAGAAACTTTTAAAGATATGATAACATTCCGTATCTACAGTATTATTTATGGACCTATCAAGAAATCTTAACAATGACAGGGACTAAGGACTTCTAATTTATTAACGGACCAAATTAAAAAGAAAACATTTGGATGACTTTGAATCTCAACTTACAATATTTTTTCGTAACTCTATGGCAATTTTATATTACTTCAGCTAAGGGTTCATGAGCAAGTAATAACATTATAGAAAATATAAAAGTATGGCTATCTCAAAATGTAAAGCTTTTGAACATCGCCCTTTCTATTCCTCTTTAACTAGTAAAAATTGAATTCGCTGTGATAATAAATTTAATTTTACTTTTCGGCTCTGGATTCTTACATTGTACGTACGAATCGATTTTTTTTTTCAATTCGCAATAAATTGCATTCGACCACGCTCGAGTTCACTCGTCGTAAAATCGCAAATTGAATCGAATATTCATTTTTTTTCATGCGGAGCTGACAAATGCTTTCTATTACAAACAAATGTTCTTAAAAACGATGTTTGAATAAAAACAGATACTTTATTAAATCCGAGCATTCATTATTTTCATTACAATAGAATTTTAATTTATTTAAAAAAAAAAACATCAAAACTTTACATTAAAACATAATTTATCGAATATTTAATGGTACGAAGCGTAACTCTCTGAAATGTAATGAACTTTTAACAAATGTTGGATATTATCAGTCTGTCTACAAAGTTTGATTAAATTTCTCGTCAAAGATATTCCCCCGTCAACAGTTCTTATACCAAATCTATAAACGATTTTGTAAAGGCAACTTTCCTGCAGGAAGAATATTAATGGGACTCACCGAGCAATGTTCTGGGTTGTAAGGTCACGCATCCAGTGTGAATGTATTCAATCAGTTGGCGGAATACGTCGGGTTCAAATTCTTCAATGATCAAGGTTTGATGCTGCTGTGAAGATGGCTGTCACAAGTGAAAGATAAATCAGTAAAACATCAAGATCGCGGCAATATACAATCACGTCCCTAACATAAGATGTATAACTCTTGGTACACCTGGTAGTAAAATGTTACTAAGAAATAAAAATCACTGAAAAAAGAAACAACTGACATTATCCATTATGTTTTTTCAAGACAACTCCCATACTAGGAATATATCCTGTGTCGCGGGGGACTTTACAAACATTCATGAAACGAACACAAAGATTCAGAACAACAATATGTGTCGTCTGTGTTGTCGTCTGTGGGGATCGAACACACAGCACTCAGAGCAGTAGAATGCGGCGAGATGACCCCTTAAACCACTATGCCATTCGTGCAGTTGCATTATTTTTATTCAATTTCGATAGTGTTAATCAAAGAAAAACATTGTTTTGAAATATAGATAAAGAAAAAAATAGATCTTTAATTGTATTTGATTACTAAAAATATGAGAAAGTATAATTAACAAGGGCAGCTAAATTGTTATGATGCTATGGGAGCTAAAAAGGCCCACAAACTGCTCTGTAGTTTGGCAGTAGTAAAAAATGACTTACAAAAATATATTAGACTCGTACTGTGAATAAACACCTTTTCTTTTCTTTCTTTCTTTCTTAAACAATGACGACAAGACTCAATGTATTGTATAACAAAAAGAAATACATTTAATTCATAATTCTGTGGAGTACTACTGGGAAAACTTGGGTTAAAAAATGTGTAAATGATATTAACATCGTTTATATATTTTAAACATTATTTACAATGACAAACAGTGCTCTTATTCTGAATTTAAGTTTTGTAGATCACAGTGTACTTCTTCAATAGAACTGATGGTTATTTTAAATTTACACACACTTAAAAGTGAACTTTTAGTGATAAACCGAAAAATCTTACAACTGTAAGTGTTTCAAAAAAATGTCATATACAAACAGTAATAACACTATAAGGAATAAAATTGTATTAAGAGAGTTGAATATGGCGAAAAGGTTTCATGCAACATCTACGACATCATCAATAAATAATAAAGGAATAATTAAAGAAACATTAATTTACTTACCTTTTTAAAAATCTATACCAAAATTTAAAAAATCGTGCAACTTAAAAGTTGTGACGCAATAAGTGAAGACAATAAAATTTCAATTAAAAATATTTTAATTGATCACGAACTCAATCCTATCTACAATGTGTATTGAAAAGTGAAAAATTTATACAGTATGAACACCGAATACTAAAACCGATAAAATGTGAATCCCCTAGAACACCGTTAATTTTGTATTTTACCTCTTGTATTGGTGCCAATTGCTGCGCGAAAGCTGATCTCTGTAGCGAACACAAGTAAAATTTAACGTTAAGAATTTTACTACTCTCCAATACCCAAGAATATTGAACCCCGTTAAAAGTTCCCTGTCGTTGCGAGACAAAAGTTCAGATGAACAGGTCTGGAAAGGATTTATCATTTGATAAAACTTTCCGCATTCATGCATTTATACAAATTTAGTCATGCTCCAGTAATGGGAACGAGGTTCTTTGAATAGCGTAAACATTCGTAGTTTTAACGTAGAGGATACAATAATTTCTTTGTACATTTTGTAGAGTTTGCTACGGGAGCTAAATTTTGATAATAGTATTTTTTAATTATCATTTACGTTGATTACAAAACACAGTAGAGTACACACACGTAACTACGGGGATATTTGATATAAGTTTTATTAAAATGTTTTATTTGCCAATATTGTTATTTAATACAATGAGTTGCAACATCACATTTTTAAGTTTACGAATATTGAATAAAACAGAATAATTACTAGCGTTAGGGTATAGAAAAATAGTAAGTATTGCAATTCATTGTATATATTAAACATTATCTTTAGTAATTAAGATGATGAAAACATTGAATATGATGATTTCATCTCAAATTTCATCTCAAAGTTATGGGATGTTTAACATTTAGCATTCTCTTGCAATCCATCTACTATTGGTAAAATACTGCCATTAATACATATATTTACCTGTTGTGCAGCATTTTGAAGGTTGAGGAGTGGCTCGGAAGATCTTTTGAGGAACAGACGTAGTTTATTCTCCCTAGGGGCTGGTTCCTTCTTCCGCTGGGGACTGGGAGCTTGGTAAAGCATTTTTTGGAAGACCCTACAGATTAGTTTTAGATGTGTACTTAAATGGCACAGATTAACATCAGCATGATAATGTATATTAAAAAAATAGTATTTATTAGAAAAAAACACATTTCTATATATATAACAAATATTTACAGCGTTACTTCCTCCATTGTATTGTCACATGTATCCCAATTTTTTCATTTGACGGTGCAACAAAATTCAGTAATAAGTTTTCAACACATGCCGAGATTACTAATAAGAATAAAATTCTGAAAGCATTAACTGTTTAAGATTTAGAAAGTAACAAAAGCGTTCAAGTGTTTCCTGATAATGTTTCGTCATAAACACATTCCCATTCACAAAATATATCTATACTGCAAATACACACGTTAATTGAGTTAGGTTGTTTCCTAGCCTGCTTGATTGAGTGTAAATTTATATCTAATTATACTTTAGACAGTTGCACAACTTTGATTATTATGGAATTAACAGACACCTCAGGAACTTTGACAAGTTTAATACACGATTTAAACGTAAATATTACGCAATCGATTTATGGAAGAAGGGACTTAATCTAGGTACAAATTGTAATTAAAAACTAATTGGCTAGTATTAATTTAAGTTTCTGCAGCGATAATTAACGTGGTAAAATAAGTATCTAAACCATAGTTGAAGATTATCTAAAGACAAATTAGATCTATGACTTTCTTAGGTATTATAACGACAATAATAATTTAATTAGCATTTCTTGTTTTTCTTTTTTTTTTCTGCTTTTCACTTCCTGCCATGAAAATTTACATCGGTTACAAGACAATTAAGCACTTTGTCTCTAAATATGTAACCTGGAAAGAATACCTATGTTTAAAAGGGGTAAACAATGAGTTTCATTCTGAAGATCTTAATTTTTTGAGGTTATGATATTCACCTTTTGCTGCCTTATGTTCGGTTTCAATGGTTACCAAGCCCATTGTACTACTTTATTCTTAAAATAACAGAAATGCGCTGACATATTTACAACTTACCTGCTCCGAGCCGCTAGCACTGCTTTAACAGCACAAACCGGCTCCCTGGTGTCTCCAACGAGGAAGGTGACGTCGCAAAGTTCAGGCATAGAGGCGAGGAACTTCATGTCCTCAGCAAGCCCGGATTTATTTTCAAATGTGCTGAGGTCGGGCTCGGCCTCCATTGCTGCTAACGCCCCACTTCGCATTGACGACTGTATTGAAAACAAGGAATTTTAAAGTAAACTCAAAGAAAACTTGGTTATTAGTATTGTAAATCTGGTGACAATGTGTCAAGGAAACTTTATTCGGTATATCAATATTACTATTTTCATCAAGCACAGACTGATTGAAATTCTGTTTCTAGGATTACGAGCGTTCCAATGTATTACGTCAATAGGCGACTAGAAATGACATTTACGGTCTTCCGAATGTAGTAATATCGTCAACCTTGATCATTTCTTATTTTAGAAATTTATTACATTCCCAACACCCCTTTAAAATTCTTAACATTTTAGGATGATGACACGCGTTTTATTACTTCCAAAAATACACACAAGTAATTTAAATGTTCTATTTTAAGCACCAATGAATATTCTGTTGAATTTTATTTATGGACATTGTAATTTAAGAAGAAGTATCATCATTAACGTTGATTTTGTTTTATCCATATTATGGGTTTATGTATGTTTAAGTATATGGACATAGCTAATTTAGTTAAGACTACTAGGTATTTTCTGGAACTTCTTCTCTTTTGACGGTACTATATTATGTGTTGTTTTTCAGAAAACAGTTTTGAACTTTTACGTTATTATTTACGTATTAGTAATGCTCACGTGTAATATTTTCAGCATTTCAGCCGCTACAGATTAAAAAAAAAAAAACGAAAAAAAAGAATTCTTGCTTGAATAATGTACAAAATAAATTTACAAAATTCTATTACCAAAGGCGAAAAGAGTCTTTATTGTTCTTAGTCAGATTTTAACCTAAAGAATAAACTTTTGAAAGGGTCAAGCACTCAAAGTTACAGACGGGCTCAATTAGGAGCGAGTTGCTTTGAAGAAGGATCCTTTTGGGTGCGAAACATTAAACTTGATGGATCTGAATTCTCCACTTAAATCAATAAAGTAGAGGTGACTAAAATAAAAGATACCTTTAGACAGCCTCAATTCAATAGAACATTCTCGTAAATTTTAAAAAGTCTACAACTAAAACTAATTACTAGTTCAATGAGACTTTTGATTATTTAAAACTTAGTATGGTTAATAAGGATGGCTGTCACTCAAACTGTACCTTATTTTACCCAATCCGCTTTTAGGTTTGGCTTAAAAGCTTAGATATGAAAAGTTTGTTTCAGTAGATAGAATCTAAATACGCAGATTCTCACAACGTTATATTATTGTAATACATCCTCTAATAACTTTACTAAAATGAAAATAGAAAGCCTTTACAAATTCAAATATTTAGTGGGAAATAATATTAAATGATAAAATTATTTTATGTACATACTGAAACTCATAAAGAATGCATAATGTAAATAAATCAATAACGATAAATTGCAATACACCCCATATATTGAGTTTACTTTTAACTGAGGATCGTTGTGATTATCTCTATATTAATTACAACGATTATGTTTAAACAATACATACGCAAATAAATCTCTGGAAGCTTGTGGTTGACGTGTTGAATAATAGTTTTGCGAAAAGTATTCAGCTTTATAGTTGCTATAATTTTTATTAAAGAAGTTTTAGTTAGTAAGTTCGTAAATATGTGTAAAAAAATGTACAGTTAACTTAAATAAATTGTTAAATATTGTTATATTTTAATCTACAGTATGTACCTAATGAAAAGTTTGCTATACCGTTAGCGGTGACGAACTAAACAATAAGCGAATGTGTAAACACCACAGGCCAAGCTACGCCACGATTCCTTTGAAGTGTACCCTAAAAAACCGAAATCATTCCCACTGCGCGCCACGTTGGCCAATTGTCCCGTCGTATTGACCTGCCTATACAATGACAATGGCTTGCCGTTTACCAACATGGGTCAATATGTACTGAGCTCTAGATATGGCTCTGCTCTATGTGGCTACACTTATTACTTATCATGAGATCGCGATTAATTTGGGAATGGAATAGCTGTCAGTTCATATGCACTTTGACGTAAGTATATGGCAAGAAAAAGATAAAAAAAAAGTGAAATGACAAACTTCTACTCCTCTTTTCCCCTAAAGCGATGACTAATTGGTTAAAAATGCATTAACATTCCTTATATCTAATGAAATGTTAAAAACATTATTTAAATCTTAGGAAAAGTAAAGTAATATTGAGCTTCATTTCTTACTTAAGAAATGAACGATTTTTGAGATTCCCTATACAACCTTCTACCCCCCTAATTTCCCCTAAAAGGATGACTAATTGGTCAAAAATGCATAAACATTCTTTATTTCTAACAAATAGTGAAACCTTTCTCGGCACTCAAACTATCTCTGTACCAAATTTCATCCAAATAGGTTTAGCGGTTTAAGTGTGAAGAGGTAAGAGAGAGAAATATTGAAATGGATGTATATTTCAATATTTCTCTCTCTTACCTCTACTAAATAAAATAATTTACGTACTAATATTCTCTCACTCATACTCATTTAATGAAATAATTTTATTGGGCGTTATTTTGCAAAACGCTGGAAATTAAGACTGCTTCCTAGTTGATAAATTGTGTAACGATTTAAAATGCTTAATATAAAAAAAGGAAGAAGTCTACGAATATAAAAGACGATGCTACTTCACAAGAGAACTAGCAAATATTACTGACTTTTATAAGTTAGAAAAACTATCTAGTAGACTTAGAGCAAATTAGCTGTGACTGACGGACAGATGGATGATTAATTCTAAAAGGCTTCTGTTGAACAACATTCCGTCTTACGGAACAATACATTGACAACAAAATAAGACACTTGGAAATAAAGTCACAAGAAATATTGGATGCACCTTTTTTAACAACAACTTTTAAAAGTATTAAAAAAGCTACGTTTTATTTTAGTGTCGCTTTTATCTATGTTTATATAAATTATTGACCTAAATATCTATTCAATGGTTTTGGAGCAAATCTCAATTATACTTGAGCGAGTTTGTCCCTCCCTTTGAGAATACTGTGTGTAAGCAATTGATCTCATTGGTAGGTCCCGAAAGCCTTTGAAGTGCTATAATTAAGGATGTGGTTGAGATAATGACTGTCAAGATATTTCCGAAAAAGACTATTTCAATACTTTTTACAACTTAGTTATTTTTTTAAATTTGATATTTAATACATGATTGTAAATTTAATCTTTTAACTCACAAATCCTTTCAACAATCGAAAAGAGCTGATGATCTTTGAACAAATGAATCGAATTTATTGAATTATAGCTTAGAACACTCTCTGAGCAATTATTACAAGACAAACACACAGATGTTTGTCTGTAAAGACATATAGGTATTTACACAGACACCAAGTTAAAGTTGTTAAAACCCCTACTTTTTGCATCATGGGTTATAATCACAAAAAAAAAATACAAATCTCATCTCATCTAAGACAAAAGAAAATTAAAATAAAGTCGAACCCTAGTAATTCATTTCTACTATATTACTTTCAACTTACTTCATCTAAACTGAAGTGTCTGGTGATAGTGATGTCCATTGTGCTTGCAAATTTATTGCTGTTGTGAGCTTAATTAACTTTAGCTATAAACAGCAAACGGCGTCCGCTCGGCGCCACGTTTGAGAGACGACTGACATAAAATGGAAAATGAAAATGACGCGTGACTTCACGCAGAACTAAAGGTCTGTGGTACAAGTAAAAGAGGACTTCGCAAAGGTATATTTACCATGATAGATTTTGGAACTTTGAAGGATAAACAATGAAAAATAATATTAATTGTAAACTTATAATTTTTACTAGTGTGGAATTTATTGATTTTAACCCAAAATGTAGGGTTATGAATAACGTAAAATATTCATAACCAAATAGTAGTAATAAAATTGTTTTGCTTGGTTTCTAGTTTTTAAGCAACAACAAGTAACCGGTAGGGTAAATAAGAGGCATAAAAATGGGACTGAAAATAAACTGGATGCTTTTAAGTAATCTTACGTCAGGAGAAAGGCTAATCAAACTATATATCAACGGCAAATACGCCAGAGACCAAAAACTATTTAGTTAGATAGAGTCCAAAATTTTGCGTATTGTAAAGGAATCCACCAAACCACACCACTGGGGTGTCGTTTACAAATATTTTTTGATAATGACACCACTGTTGACTAGTGACGTATAACGTGAAATAAAACAATTCGTTATGTCTTCTTCGTTATTTTAATGATAATTTTGAAATTAGTCAGGTTTACATGGATTCGTAAAACATAACTGTATCCATTACAATAAAAAACGACTAAATTATTTTTTTAAATTTCATCCCATAATTATAAAACAACTAATCATTTTTTTTCACCGTATCTTTGTTTCACTTCATCTGCTATCTTTAAAGCAAATCTCTGGAATCTTCTGAAAAAAGCTTTTTATAGGGCCAAATTCGTGACCTCACGAATCAAAAATAATTGTTATCGATAAATGCATAAGTTTTGTGTTAGAACTTCAATACGGTGGTTATGGTGTCGTTATCAAAAAAAAAAGGCAAGCGACACCCCAGTGATCTTGTTCAGGGATGTCGTTTTTGCATGTATTGTAAACGACATTACAATACACGCAAAAATGTATGAAACACCTTTTAGATAAATTTAGAAAAATCATTAGCTGTTTTCGCCCTTGGGAGGTACGGTTTTTTTTTTAAATAACATATGTCTAGTAAGTTGTAGATTAAGGCCACTTTCCACGATATGACTACTTGGTTTCTTGCCGTCGATATATAAGTACGTATTATTATCTGGGATTCTTAGTTAAGTCTTTGTCTATATACTTAGTGGAAAATACGAAATGTAAGTTAATCTAAGGAAGAGAACAACGGAAGCACTCACGGAAACGTTTGTAAAGGAAACGGAATTGCTCACTACAATTCTTTGAAGATTTTTTTTAAAAGAAAATAAGAATAGCAACGAACAAATACACGTAATTAAGTAACATATATCTGTGTCCCTCCTAAAGCGTAATTTTTTACTTTGTCTTGCTATGTAGGTGTAGCGACATAATTGTTTATTGATATTGAGAAGGAAATGAGTAGACGGGTCACCTAATGTCACCTGATGATAGGTATTTTTGGGTGACGGTATGTGACTACTGCCGCCCATGGTCACCTGCAGGGGGGAGGTGTTTCAGGCTCCGGCAACCTTACTCACTCGGTGAATAGTAACGAAATAATTGTTTAACAATAGTTTTTCACTGTGAGGTCGTGGTATCACCAGCCCATTTGAAGATTTTCGTTCGGTGCGAGCATTTTCATAACCTTATATTATAAATGTGAAAGTTTTGATGAATGGGTGGGTAGATGTTTGTTACTCAATCACGCTAGAATGGAATTGAATGAAATTTCATTCCAAAAGAATAGAGCATAGGCTACTGTCTAAGAATAAGCTACAATAAGCGACGTACTTGGACGTGACTTTAAAAAAAAAAATTTGACGTAAAAGTAAGTACGGTACGATAAATTGTGCTCAATTCTTTAAATGTTTCTACTCTAAAAAATTTGCCTAACGTATTTGTAACTGTAGGGACCTATTTAATCTATATTACAAACATTTCATCTCAGTTTTATCGAAATCTCCATCTCCAGGTAAGTTTTAAAGATAATTGATCAATCAAGGATATTTAAACGCGGTAAACAATTTAAATCCATGACTTAGACACTTATCAAGATAAAGAACCTATCACGCCCAAATCACGTTACTACGAAATTTGAATCCTCAATTCAGATTGGCTCATCAATCTTCTTTAGGGAAAGCAGTTTTGGAAAAATACTTTAGTGGATTCACAAAAAATACTTTTTTGTTGTTGTTTTGTTGTAAATATCAACACATCAATTATTGATTTTAGAGCTGTAAATGACATTAACATCGAATAGCAATTTCAGATCAGTAAGATTATTTATTATTTTAACCAGTTTTTGGAGCACATACAACTATTGTGATAAAGCGTTGTAGTTTGATTTTTGAGCGTTGATAATTGAGTTTATATAATTAAGACTTAATACAAGAAATCTAAGTTTTATAGCCTGCGGCGGGTGGTGGCAGATTATTTGGAGAAGCGTAAAGTCGTGTTCGAGGACCGAAATGGTAATCTGAAGTGTCGGTGTTCCGCAGGGGTCCGTTCTTGGACCCCTACAATGGAAAATAGGGTACGAATGGGCCCTTCGAGCTGATTTCTCCCCGCCACCGGGCTGGGTGTAATTTGTTACGCCGATGTCACAGCCTTTTTTTTTTTTTTTTTTTTTTTTTTTTTTTTTTTTTTTTTTTGTTGACGGGGTGGAAAATCCCTTCGGATCTCCGGCTCCTCGGGGACTCAAGAGCCAGGAGTATGTGGTGATTCCACTAAAAACCACCCCGACGGCCGGCCTTAGGTGTCCTACTCTAGGGAGGACCCGGACCATGTTATTTCAGGTCCTCCCCGAATTGACACCATGCCTAATCAGGCCCTATCCCAGGGGAAAATCACTTCCCCCTTCAATCACGGCATGGCAGCCCGATCGCATCTTAATGCAATCAGGCCGGCCATTCCATTCCCTACCGCAGCAATCAATCTGCCACCAGAGGTCCCCACTCTCTGGCGGCCCGCGGCCCCGTCGATGGCTGATATCGCCGCCGACGTCTTCTTCGTTCGGGATCGGCCCTCTCCCGATCCCGTTCAGCGGTCTCTTTCTGGAGCATTACAGCTTCACAGAAAGAGACCACTGCGCCCCAGCCCTCCTCACCCGCCAACATGGCAGCAATGATTGCTGGCGGGGACAGGTCTCGTCCGATTTGGTCGACCAGGACCTCGCGTTCAGACGCCCACGAGGGACAGTCTTCCAGCGTATGCTGGGCGGAGTCCCAGTCGGCTGCGCAGTGCTGGCATTGTGCCGTCTCCTCGCGTCCAATCCGATTCAGGTACTCCCCGAAGCAACCATGCCCAGTGAGTACCTGCGTCAGTCGGTAGGTGACGCAACCTCCCTCCCTACCTACCCAAGCTTCAAGGTTAGGCAGAACGGCACCGACAGCGCGTTGGCGCGCATTCCGCGGCTGCTCCAGTCGTGCGCGCCACTGCACCAGTGCCTGTCGGTGGGCGTTCCGCCGCATTTCGAGCTCATCCTGGTCTTCCCCACCCTCACCCCGACGGATCACGCAAGTCTGGTCATAGACCCTCGCGTCCATATCCGCCAGGATATCAAAGGGTGGGAAACGTGCCAGGACTGTCGCCGCCTCCGACGAAATTGTGCGGTAACCTCGTACGATCCTAATGGCCGCTACCCGCTGCGCTTGATTGAGCTTCGCTCGGCAGCGGGAGGAGGCCGATAGGCGCTTGGCCCATATTGGCGCTCCGTAGAGGGCCATGGATCGTATCACCGCACAGTAGAGGCGGCGAACTTCCTCCCGCGGACCCCCTAGATTAGGCAATAGCCTCTGTAGGGAGCCCGCCACCCCGCGAACTCGGGGGATCATCCGCTCGAAATGCTCCTCGAAGCTCCAGCGGCTGTCCAGGGTGAGGCCGAGGTATTTAATGTACCGTCCGACCTCGACCTCTGTTCCCCCCACTTTAATAAGCGTTCTGGTGGGAACTGCACCTCTGCGTTTTCTGTGAAACCACAGGGCTTCCGTCTTATGAGGTGCAACCCTTAGACCCAGACCGCTGATCCCTTGGACGACACAAGCCACCCCTAACTCGGCGAGCTCCAGTACTTCCTGGAAGCCATGTCCCCCAGCTAGTACCAAAGTGTCGTCCGCGTAGCAGACGACACTCAATCCTGGGGGAAGGCTGGTCCTCAGGACGGCATCATACGCGAGGTTCCACAGAAGAGGTCCCAGGACCGACCCCTGGGGAACCCCGCACGTGACCTCGCCGTCCCGACCCATATACGATATGGATCTGTCACAGAGATAAACCCCGATGATATTCCGCAGGTAGGGAGGCAACTGGTGATATACAAGTGCCTCCCTAATCGCCCACCACGGAAGAGAGTTAAAGGCGTTGACAATGTCAAGACTAACGGCCAACGCCACTCCCCCCCGACAGACAACCTCTTCCGACAAGGAGCGGACGCGTGCAATCGCGTCCAGCGTCGAGCGTCCCTGTCGAAAGCCAAATTGGTTGTCTGATAAGTCGGGGCCCACTCGCGACAGGTGCTGGTTGATACGGGCGGCGATAACTCTTTCAAAGAGTTTCGCCACCTCGTCCAACAGGCATATCGGTCGGAACGCCGAGGGAGAATCTGCGGCCCTGCCAGGTTTCTGGATAAGTACCAGCCTGGCTTCCTTCCAGCCGGCAGGGAATACGCTATTACGGAGGCAGCTGTTAAACAGCCGCCTCAGCCTATTCCCTAGGACCACCAAAGCGCACACCCATGCTCGGCCCGGGATCCCATCAGGGCCCGGGGCAGTGTTGCGGGCGGCGAGTCGCTTCACGGCTCGGTCCAGCTCTTCCTCCGTCACGTCAAAGTCGTCGGACCACGTGAATGGTTCCGACGGCGACGGAGGGCGTGAGGGACTGACCCGGTCCCCGGG